GGCCCAGCCCCATGCTGCCATGGAAAGTCCCTGCTGCGGCTTGTCCCCTGGGGCCAGCTGCCCCGCGCTGTGCCGTGGAGCAGGGACAGACGGTGCCTCTTGTCTCTGCACAGGGGAGGAAGCCAGGAACCCACAGCGCTCGATCCCCATTGGCATCATTGTGTCCCTCCTCATCTGCTTCGTAGCTTATTTTGGGGTCTCCGCGGCCCTGACCCTCATGGTGCCGTACTTCCTCCTGAACAAGGAGAGCCCCCTGCCTGAGGCTTTCAAGGCAGTGGGCTGGAAGCCCGCCCGCTATGCTGTTGCCGTTGGCTCGCTCTGTGCCCTCTCCACCAGGTAGGACTGGCTCCATCCCTGGCACTGCCTGGCACGGTACGGGGACCAGGAGAATGCGTCCCAGCTGGTCTGGGTGTTTGCCGCATCTGGCTGCTATCCTGCTCCTGGCACAGAGATGGTCCCATCCCTGTCTGGGTGGTGGATGGGGACAGCTTGCCTGGCAGGCCCTGAGCCATCTCTCCCCACGGCAGCTTGCTGGGCTCCATGTTCCCCATGCCCCGTGTGATCTATGCCATGGCGGAGGACGGGCTGCTCTTCAGGTTCCTCTCCAGCATCAACAGCCGCACGAAGACCCCTCTGTCAGCCACCATCACCTCGGGGCTCCTTGCGGGTAAGGTTCCTGGCTGCCGCCTCATGCTTGGCCCCGCAGCGGTCCAGAGCCATGCTCATGCTGCTTGTCCTTGTTGCAGCGGTGATGGCCTTCCTGCTTGACCTAAAGGACCTGGTAGACCTCATGTCAATCGGCACACTGCTGGCCTACTCCCTGGTGGCAGTGTGTGTGCTCATCCTCCGGTGGGTGTCTCCTCTCGCGTGGCAGTGCTCGGGGTTGATGTGCTGTGCGTCAAGCCCAGGGCTGGTGGCCACAACTTTTTCCTGGGGGGATACAGCATGGGGAAGCATCAAGCCTCCAAGATGGAGGCTGCTCACAAGAGCCTGCATGGTGTCACTGGGCATATCCCAGTTGTGGCGGGGCTACTGCCAGAGCAGCACATTGGGCTGGAGGAGTGTGAGGGGTATGAGGGTGCTGCCCACTATCGCCCTAGGCTGGGAAGTTCCTTGGGCTCCGCTGCAGCTTGTCTCATCTGCTCAGGTACCAGTCCGAGCAGCTGAACTCCCCGAAGGCCATGGAAATGCTGGAGCTGAACGGGAACGAGGAGGAGAGAGTGATCATGAATCCAACTGTCACCGCCACCAGTGTCCAGCAGAAAGAGACGCTGGCCCTGGCGACACTGTTCAACCCACCTGCAGACACCCCCACCGCGCTATCGGGGCGCATCGTCTACATCTGTGTCTCAGTCATTGGTGAGTGAACCCATGTCCTCCCCTGCCAGGGGCTGGAGCACTTTGGTGTGTCCCCACAGAGCTGGGGAAGGATAGTGGGCATGCTGGGCAGAGGAGCACAGGCTGCCAGCCACTGTTGGCAGCACCAGTGGGCACTGGACCTATTCTGCCCTGGGCAAGGTGCCAAGTGCAGGGCATGGCTGGGGTTTCGGGCACACGGAGGCTGATGGAGGACGTGGACACTAAGCCAGGCATGTATGGGTGGTCACAGGGGCTCCCTGTGATGAGCCTGGTCCAGGCTGGCCACCCAGCGAGGGTGGTTCCCAGGCCCCTGAGAGCACTCGGGCTCAGCCAGCAAGGTTTCATCCATCCATCCATGGCTTCATTGTGCAGCCAGAATGGGGTGGCTTAGCTGGGTCTGGGTAAGCATCAGAACTGGGTTCCAGCCCAGCTGAGTGCAGGCTCCCCTCGGCTTGTAGGGCTGGCGAGTTCCCCCAGCAAGGCACTTTCCTGAGGCTTTGGGGCAGGTGTTGGAGACAGCACATGCTGGACCCATACCTGACCGAGAGGAGTGGGTGCCTCCGCCCAGCCATTGGTGAGGGTTGGGGTCGCAGGGAGGCCGTGTGCCGTGCAGCCTCCTGACTGCCCCCTCTCTTGCAGCCACACTGATCGTGGTCATCTGCGTGGTCCTGACCCTCAAGGTGACTGCGCTGAAGGACGCCAGCGTGGGCTGGATCATGGCCCTGGTGCTGCTCCTTGTGGCTCTGCTCATTCCCACCATCATCATTTGGAGGCAGCCGCAGAGCAACGCGCGGTTGAACTTCAAAGTGAGTGCAGCCCCCAGCAGCTCGGTGTCTGTTCTGCCACGGACCCCTGGCAGGGCCTGGGTCATTGCAGGATCTGCCAGGGCTTGCTGCTGGGCAGTCACGGTCCAGGAAAGCCTAGGACCCTGAGATGCGGCTCTCTGAGGTGCAATCCCCAGCGTGGAAGTGCCCAGGTGCCCTCTGGGCTGTGACAGGGGTGGGATCCCTCTGTGGCCAGAAGCATCCTTGAGCCCAGCTGGGTCCCTCAAGGCACAGCTGACATGGCACCTCTTGTCCCTCGCAGGTACCTTTCCTCCCGCTCCTGCCGATCTTCAGCATCTTCATTAACATCCTGCTGATGGTACAGCTGAACACTGGCACCTGGGTGCGGTTTGCCATCTGGATGGCCGTGGGTAGGTGTCCTGCAGAGGGGAGTGTGGTGCCCGCAGGGTCCCACTGGGCGGCTCTCTGATGCTGGCAGCCTGCTGCTGTGCATTTCATTGCGGAAACTGTCCTGCAGGTTTCATTATTTACTTCGGCTACGGTATTCGGAACAGTGTGGAAGGGAAAAGCGCAGAGGAACCCTGTGCCACAGCAGAAAAGCCTCTGCACCACCCAGGACTGGACCTCAGCCCTGGAGCTGCTGCGGTCTGAGGGACTGGGCACCGGCACTCTGTGGACCTCTGCCAGTATTCCCGCTCAGGGACAAGATCATGATCCGCATGGTACATCCATCCCCTCTCCCGTGGGGAGCAAGTCCTAGAGTCAGGACCGTGGAGCCAGGTTGTGCACTGCCCTTTCCCCTCGCAAGAGCAGAGGTCACAGAGATGATTCCCTGGGCCACATGGGAGTGCTGGTGGCCCGGGGCTGGTCTCTGGCATCCCCCCAACCCCACCGAGGGGCAGTGACACTGGCACAGCCCTCCTGCCGTGGAAGCTGCTGTCAGAAATGCTGCTTTCACTGCACATGGGAAGCCCCACACGATGGTGCAGCTGTATTTGTTCTGTCTGTCCATGTGGCTGTGGTCACCACCTCCTCTCCATGCTTGCCACGCGCTGGGCGTATACATGGCAGCCATGGCTGGAGCTGTGCGATGAGGTTTGGGGCGGCTTGTTCTGGTACCGCCAGCAGACCGGTGCTCCCTGGCAGCATGGGGCTCAGCCGGCCACAACCCCCTCCGTGCCTGGGATTTGCATTCCAAGCTGAGCCCTGTGCTGCCCCAGCCATGCTGCTTGGTGTGAGCATGTAGCTCGGGTGTCTGTGAAGATGTCCACAGTGTAGCCGTACCAGTGTCCAACCTCGTATGCTTTTGTATAATTGGTGTTTTAATGTCGACTTTTATACCTATTAAACTAAATGTTTTTTAAGTGCTTGGCCCTGTTGGTCCTGCCACATCTCATGTTAATGCCCTGTGGTCACGGAGCCCTGGCCAGGACCTCATGTGCTACAAGGTCAGGTGCCAGGCTGGTGCCAGCACAGAGCAGGGCTCGGCCACAGCTGGCTGTGCTGGTGGGCTCCCTGCCCAAAACTTGCCGGCTGGAGCCACCAGCCCTCACCCTGTCCCCTGGGACAGTGAGCCAGGAACCATGGAGCAGTGCTCCAGGCCAGCTCAACCCAGCGCTGCTAGTACCTGTGGGCAGGACACCAGCCTGCCACGGCCCCACCCTGTGCTGCGTGGGAGTGTGTCACCTGGTCCCTTTACTTCCAGTAAAGTCCTTGGGGAATACCTCCTGGAGGCTCCAGCAATGGCCTGCAGAGGAAGCGTGGCCTGGAGCTGGGCTGCATCCATGTGAGAAGATCATGATTTCCCAGATTCTGGTCTGGTCTAAATCAGCCCTGACAGATTATTTTGCAAAATAAACTAATTTAGGACAGATGGATCTTGCATGGTTTTGGCATCTCTCCCTGTTTACTGGCAGTGTAGCAAGGTCACTGCACGGTCAGCAGCGAGGGCCCCACAGCATCAGCTCTGCTGGGCTGGAGCTGTGAGCCCTGCCCCAGGGCTGTGCCCAGACTAAAAGGGGCTGTGGCACCTGCAGTGGCCCTGCGGTGGGCACTGCCTGCCCTGCTGCCCTGGGCCGGGGTGCTCTGCCAGAGCCTCTGGCTCCAGCCCTCAGGTGCAGCTGATTCCTGGCACTGGCTCCTTGCAGGTGCTTCCAGCTCTTCTGGTCATGCCTGTGACTGGGCGTGCTGCGCTGGGTCCCACCACCGCGCCTGGTGGGTATCTTCTGGCCCAGAGCAGCACACAGGGCCCTGCCGAGCCCTGAGCCCGCAGTCCCCCAGGCACCCATGCACCTGGGTTTGGGTGTTGTCCCCCAAGCCTGGCGGGCAATGGGCCCGTGGTACAGACGCAGCCGTCACCCACTGGCTCGGCACTGCTGCAGCCCCCCATGCCTTTGTGTCCATGTCCCTGTGCATGTCCATGCCCACGGCTGTGCGTGGGTCTGTGCTCACAGGCATGTCCATGCCTGGCTCCAGGCCATCCCACTGAGCACTGGCATCCCATCCTGGGCACCCATTTGGGCTGGCAGAGTTCTGAACATGGAGTAGGGTGCTGGGAAGCCCCAGGCAGCTCCCACCACGGCAGCCTGTCAGGGAAGCAGCTGTCTGACAGCTGCCAGGTTGTGCCGGTGCAGTGTGGTGGGTCGGTGCCATCCTGGCACTGGCGCAGGTGCTGGCAGGAGCGCAGCAGCTTTGTCCCCCCCCAGGCCCTGTGCTGGGCTCCCTGGCATTGGCTGCCTGCCTCAGGGGTGCTGCCCCAGCCCTGGGCACTCACTCTGGGGGGACCCTGCCTCCCTCTGCCCACCACCTCTTTCTGTCCCATCTGGGCTAGCAGAGCTGCCAGGGATGGCACCACATCCTCTGCCGGGCAGCGCCTCTGCCTTTCCTGGGCCCCCCTGGCATTACTGTACATCTCGGCGCATCAGTTGATGGGTAAGTAACACCCAGACGGAGCCCCAGCATGTTCCTGTCAGCACAAGCACTGCTTTAACTGCTGCCACGCCAACCTGCGTGTGGCCTGCTCAGATGTTCTGATAACAACCTGGGGCTCCGTTGTGCAGAGAGGGGCCGGGAGGGAAGCATGTTCCTGGGTGAAGGCTGTCAGGTGTCGGGGGCTGCAGAGTGGGCTTTGCCCTCCCGTGCCAGTCTGGCAGGGGCCATTTTCTGCTTTGGGAAAACGCAGCAAAAAGCAGAGCCTGACTTTGCTGCTGTGAGAGCTGGTCCCCAGCCCTGTACACAGCTGCCTGAGGTTTGCCTCCTCAGCCAGGGAGTTTCCACCCAGATACGCAGCGCAGGCTGTGTTCCTGCCTGCTGCCCGGCCGTTGGCCTCCCCAGGCGGCTCCAGCCCTGGCAGAGCAGCTGGCAGAGCCCTGGAGGGAACCAAACAAGCCTGAAGCTTCTCCCTTGCCTGTGCCCCTGCTGCTGCACGGGTGCTAGGCTGACCAGGCACAAGCGTGGGCAGGAGCACGGGCAGGGGAGGCAGGGCTGGCTCCTGTTTCAGTGCTATCCTGGTGGCTGTAGTGCCGGGGATACTCAGGCAGGCCCACCTGGGAGCCACAGCCAGGTCTTGGCTTGCGATCTCCCTGTTGCTGTCCTCCTTGGATTTAAAAGGGAGCCGGAGGGTTGTTGGCTCCATCTGTGTTTAGCCCGAGCCATGCCACGGGGGCTGGCAGTTGGGGCAGCAATGCCATGAGGGCCTGGCTGCGGCCACTGGCTGATGGTGATGTGCCCTGGCCATGGGCCGTGGTGGGGATGCAGCAGTGGTGGGTCAGGGTGTGGGGGGTGCAGGGAGCTGGTGGCTCTCAGTTTCCCTCCCCACCTGGCTCCACCCTGTCCCCTGTGGCTTTCATAACCGCACGCACTGCCACGTGTCTGGCACAGACCTTGGCTGCCTTTGGGGGACACACGGGGCTTTCCCGGTGGAGGTGTCGGAGCAGCTTTCTGCACACCAGCTGCTTGCTGAGGAAGAGCCTCCAGGGGGGCTGCCGAGAGGAGCCCGTGTGGGTATGCAGGCTCGGGGCAGAATGGAGGCTATGGGCTATACCGCTGAGCCATTGGAGGGAGAACTGGCACTGCAGAGCCTGCCCGCTGCACTGCTGCCCTGCCGCCCTGCCAAAACAGGGGAGGCCCTGGCACGTGGCGATGTAGCAGCGAATTAAATTTTAAATTGTCTACAATGATCCGTTTGGGAGTTCAACTCAGGCTGGCTGGTCTGCACTGCTCTGGGACACCAAATACTGCAACCTGAGGAGTTAATGCACCGCCTTCTTCCCTGTAGGACCAGCAAGGAGGTACTGTCATCTCCTCCTCCCCACAAGGTGACCAGCTGATGCAGCGGAGCTGGGGTGGCTGCCCGGTGGGACACATCCATAGGCGGGGCATGAGCCCTGGAATCTGGGGAATCCACCCTGGGGCAGGCGGGGTTACTGGTGTGACAGAGAAAACTCATCAGCTCGTGATATTTCTGCAGCGGCGCTGGGTTGCGCTGCAGGGCCTCACCATCCAGAAGAGCTCCAGGAGATCAAAGCCAGTGCCGGATGAGATTCCTATCGCTCCTTACTCACCCAGCTCCAGGCAGGTTCCAACCCTTCTGCTTTCTGTGGTAACAGCTTAAGCATGCACGACTCAGTAGCTGGCACGAGGCAGCATGCATCCGATAATCCTCCCAGCCCTGAGCCGTGGCAGGTGGCCGGCTCTCTAATCGTGCAGGCTTAATGCTCTCCTTGCTTTGCCTTTGCAGGTCTGGCACAATGACTTGCTGCCAGGTGGTTGCTCTTGTCTTGCTCTCCTTTCTCCCCAGTGTTGCAGCTGGTGACCTGGCTCCTGCTCTTGCTTCCCCATCCACAATGCAACTAGCCAAAGGGTGGTTCTTGTCACAGCCCGTCCCAGAGCTGACAACATACTGCAACAGTTCCAGCACCCAGCAGGAGGCCACCAGGGTCTCTCAGGACTTCCAGGAGTACTTCTCTTATGAGACAGTGTATCCCAACAGCTCCCGCACCCTCACCACGGTGGAAGTGAGCCCCTGGGCAAGTGGCGCAGAGAGGAGATGGTGGAGGCAGTGTGTGTGACACAAGTGGCAGATTTATGGTGCAGACAGGCAATTTTCCATCAGCAGGACCCAATTCCTGATGATCTACCCCTTCTCTGCCACTGTCAATACCTCCATGGGCTGCATGGGCATGCTGGTGTCTGAGTGGCACGTCTTCACCGCTGCCCACTGCATTCATGACAGCAAAGGCTATGTGAAGGCAGGCCAAGAAGATCAAGGTGGGTTTTCTGTTGCCAGCATAGGGCACTGACAATGGGATGGGGACAAGGAGGCTGGTGATGTGCTGGGTTCGGGTACAGCGCATGTAGGTGCCCATGGGCTGGATCCGGGGCCCCAACTTGGTCAGCATGGACTATAACTGCACCCTTTTGGAGCTGTGCAGGCCACACCAGTGCCCGCACAGGAAGATTATGGCAACTCTGCCAACGGAGGAGATAGCTGGGAAGAGGATTCATTTCTCAGGGTTTGACAGTGACTGTCCAGGCAAGCTGGTCTACTGCTTCTGTGGGGTGGAGGATGAGCCAACTTACCTCATCTACCAGCACTGCAATGCCAAGCCTGGTGCGTCCAGCTCTGGGGTGTATGGCAAGGTGTGGGACCC